TTCTACGAGTCATGGGTGACGATCCCAGCCACGCGACTCCACCAGTGGATCCCGACCCACCCGCCAGACCCTACCGACGGCTCCAGATCCATACCACAGCGCACTCAAAGTCTCGACCCCGTCGCACAACGACCCTACCCCCGACATTACTCGTTTTAACTTTGCAGCCGCAGACGTTCTAGAGTCCAAGCGGCGATTCAAATATCATGTCCGATCGCCCCGGGAACGCATGCGCACAAGGCTCGCGTGCCCGTCCGCATACCACAGCGAGGTGTTTTTAAAGTTCAGTCCCGGGCAGAGCAGCAAGGTAAGGAACGGTAAGGGGAAGAGACGCCTGAACTTTCCGCTGTTCCAAGTATCTCTTCTTTCGACACGATCGACGCGAGGGCGGTCTCGCCTCAGAACCAGTCTCCGACGACTTTCGCGACAGTCCGAAGTCCCGTCCGTTCGACACTCAGGGTTCCACGTAAAATTTCCCAGATTACATGATCTCCCCGCGGTAAGACGGCTGACGTGAAAGCGTCCCGTCCGCCTCCGAGCTCGGGTGTCGTGGGCACCATCGGACAAAGACAAGACGAGATGTCACTCACTCGGCGTGACTCTCTCGAAATCCATTTGATTTTTGGGTCGGATATCCGTACCACCAAATTGGACAGGGTCAATTAACCTGCGCGAGAAGAACATCAGTGGGTCACCCACCCACCACCCATCGTTTACCGTGCTTATCGCGCGCCTGTGCCAGTTCCGGGGGGTGCCTCTCTTTTTCATTACGCTCCCACTCTATCCGAGACGTTTCATTATATTTCCCTTCCTCCGAATTTCGTTCTCCGAGATGAAGAACCGGCTGCAGTGCGTCACGTTATTCCAAACTCCGAAATTATCCACGCCACAGACCACCATCCAATCCCTCGACCATCACTCATGGCTTCACACTCCAAGCGATGACACTTTGACGACGGCGACAGGCGAGGAGCGGAAGACGAGCAAAGGCAAAAAGAGAAAACCACGCCACGCACGCTAGGACGTTTCAGTCCCGGCATCTTCCATATATCGCCTCCCTCGCCTCGTGGCCGTCGACCAACGATCGATAAGCCGCTCCTCTCCTTAGCCACACCGCACGCAAATAGGAGGCACGACGGTAAACAACACCCTCGTCAAATACTCGCGGGGAGAAGTCCTTCCATGGGGTAAGTCATGACGACAGGGACCACCACCGTTGCAAGGCGCAGGGTACACCCCCCGTTCACGCTTTCACGCTTCACGGAGAATGCTGGAACTGCTAGGGTGGGAACGTGCGCAGCGAAGACAGAAGCGAGGAAGAAGGGGATGCAGGGATACAGAGATAAGGCCTTGTGCACGCAACGACGCACGCACCGGTTTCGGCGAACCATTCGACGTCAGCCGCTTCACCGTGGATAATCAGCCTCGTCATTGCATCGAGTGGTCGCCGCATGACATCAACATGTCAAAACGTGAGCTAGCATGCTCCGTGGCTCCGGATGGTCGCAAGACCGCCTTTCCGGCACCAGTTGGATATCGTGACGCAGGGCCAATTGTCGTTGCACTGCATGAGCGATCGGGATATGGGCAGACTTCTCGCATTTTGGGGCCTTTTTATACGATCGTTGCTGGTTCTGAAACATATCAGAGTCCGAATGAAGCATTATTGACGCCGTTCACTCCGTGTGGTTGACGCCCGCAGAACAAGTAAACCTCACTCCAAGCAGCAGGTCTTCACGGGAAAGTCGTCAAATTAATCCAAAATAAGTATGACTGCTATGTGTTTTTGCAACGCCTGTTTCACTCATCGATGTACCACTCATACCACAGTCGACCTCAAACCATTGTGCTCATAGTACGACGCCTCGTTGAAAAGAATCGTTCTTCTCGCTATTGCGATCGGAATGTCACAAAGTGGTGCAGCAAACCCCGATCGACGACCCGTTCACATTGGGGAAGTCACCACATCCGCCAGTGACCCTTGGCGTCTTCCATTGCTCTGGGCAAAATAGTCACTACGACGGCAATAGCCTTAAGGCGTGCAAAAGTCTCACACACGCAGCGGAATGACCGTTGATTGCTTCCACGGAGAGACTAGTTGTTGTCTTGCCTCGCAGTTTTGCCAAATTCGGATGACGGCTAGTGCAGCGCGAAGCACGAGCCGCCGAGGAATACATGCCTAAGGCCTGTGAGAGAAGCCCACGTTTACATTGCAGCGCGAGGGAAGCCACCCGATCAAGCGTCTGAATGCTCAAGGATAGGAGGGGGTGCGTGGGGGAGAGAACAGACACGACAGGACGGGGTGGAAAGTATCTATCTTGCTAGGGCAATAGATCCCCGGTGCATCGTTGCAAGGTGGTCCGAGAATGGGTAAAGTGGTTCTTCAGATGGCTTGGCTTGACGCGGGCGACTCACCGAGGATAGAAAAAACGACGCATGAAAATCGCCGAGAATCTCCGCGAAGCAGTCGGAGCTGTTTTGCGATGTCGCAACGGAGAATACCGGACGCGAAACCGTCACCGTCGCCTATTCGGCTCCGTGTGGTTTAGCCTGGGGAAGGCGGGGAGCCCTGCGCCCACTCTTGAGACGAACAATCCGCCAAAACGCGTCCGTTCCTCGCAGGCTAACGAATGTTCGGGATCATCGAAACCATCATGGAAATCGGAACCTGCTTGCAAGCGGTCGGCGATTGCCGAAGTTTGAGGTGCGCAGACAGGATTCGAACATCAATTTCCGTCCAAAGTTGCCGCATCAGGCAATCGACAAGCGCACGGACTGAGCACGGAAATCCGTAAGAGACGATTCGATGAGGGTTGATCCGACAGAAAGAGCCGTGCGGCACGGTGCAAAAAGACGCTGAGACCTTGAGAAGAACCGGGCCGGACGCCTCGTGGGTAAAATCGGGCTCAGGCACGGTACCGCCGTCCTTACAGGCCTTAGGCCTGTTTACCGACGTTCATCCTTATCCAATTACGTCGATCGCATGCAGGGCCGGCACGTCTAAACAAGCCACTTCTCATTGTTCCTCAGCTTCCACATGTGTGAAATACCGAAAGAAAACGCACGATGGAAGCAACAAAAAGAGGCTAGCTTATACTGGGTGCGGGCCCATCGAGTCACAAGCACGCTGCAGAAGCAGCTATTCCTTTCGTTATTGCAAAATTGTTAAAGGGTCAAGGTCAGGCGGCCGTCCTCGATTTCCTCTGCAGCGTAGGCAATCAGTTGCACGGGACCCGACCGCCAGAAGAAGCGGGTGACAATTCCACCTCACGCCGTGATCACAGGACCCATGGAAAACGGACAGCTGCAACGGGGGAAATGCCTTCCCCCACTTGGCCCTTCCAAAAACCCACTCCCACTTCATCCGCTTCGACCGACGGGCGAAAGGGCAAAAGGAAACGGGCATGTGTAGAATGGGACAGCAGAATATATACCCCGTCTCCCCAGTCCTCCAACGTGTTCGCACGAAAAGCGCAGCGATGAACTCTCCCTTGCTTTGGGTTAAGCGTCTCGCGCTTGATGAGTTTCTCGCGATGATGTGCAAGGGAAAGCCATCTGATATCGTCAGCAAAGGGAAAGGCTTAATCGTGTCAACGGTAGGCGCGCTCAGAATTGCGTAATTACAGCATGTTTGTTGCGGTGAGAGAGTGGTTGAAGAATCCGGTCGGACATCGCCGGCCATCACGCATAAGGAAGGAGCGAGCCCAGCACCGACGAGTGACATTACCTCAGTCAGAACCGCGGGTATTTTCCATTCCGTACCGTCATAGCCCCTCCATTCTGCCTTGAGCTGATTTTGACTTGCAATGAGGGCCTTACCGCGAAAGATCAAATATGGAGCCTATTTCAAGGTCTCTTTGTTCCTTCAACCTCGTCTCAACTTGAATCTCCAACCGGCGAGATCACTACCGGGACACCCTCCTTACCGCGATTCTCTGTCCTTTTGAGCATTCTGGATCCCACCAAGTGTCGAGGTCGGGTCCAGATTCAGCCCGGAGCTCTCAAGTGGATCTCAAGGAGCGCCATAGTCAACACAAGCAAGCCCAGTGCATCTGCCTTGCGGGACCTGATTCTTCGCCAATGCGGGCTAGCCAGAGTCTGCGCATGTTCTAGGGTCTGTGCCACCGCCTATCCAGTCTCTTCACTTACGAGAAGAAGTATACATTGGAGCCGGCTCATAGCCGCCGTCGCGGTGGGTCGTTTCTCCGAAATGAACGAGCCGTCGGACACGAGACAACGTGCAAGTAGGAGGACACCCCGTCTTCCATTGGAGCACGACCTCGCGCCTTTGTATAAGGCAATCGAGCTTGGTGTTGGCGCAGTCCTTCACCTAACATCGATATCCATCGGTTGGTGCACCTAGTGCACGCCATTACGCCTCGCAGGTCGACGCTGACTAGATCCGGAAACTCCGACGGTGACGGTCAACCTTTGTCACGACTTAAAGCGATGGTCCGCTCCCTTGAAAACTCTTGCTGAGCCAAATGCTGTGGCCTGGAGACTCTCGCGCGCATAAGCTGGTTGTATCTGGGGACCGGAGCCATTTCCCGATCCTTCCACTCACTCGCCAACTTCCTACCTTGTATACTCGCGCTTAGCATGCTTGGACCATACCTACACCTTACGCAACTTGAATATCGTGAGTGTCCGACCGACGATGAAAACAGCAACAGGACCGGATCTAGCACGGAAGCGAGGTGCAGAACCGCCTTGCACCGTCATTAACAGAATCGGTTTTGATGGTCTTGCTTTCTAGCACTAATTTGTGAGCGACAACCCTACCCCGACGACGTGCTGGTGGTCACTGTTACGTGGTGAAGCTGCAGGTTCACAGTGGTCTGATCCCAGTCTCAGACCACCTTTTGTATTTTGGGACCTGTCCGAGGCCAACAACCTTTATGTACACCAAGCAGCAAACGCAAATCAAACGTGGTTTTGTGGTTTCGAGACCCGTTTGTTGGTGGCGATATTAATTGATTGAAGATGAATGAGTCTCATAAGACTGCGTCGCTTAGTGGTTAGAGCATCTCGTTGTGGTTCTTGTCCCGAGAAGACGGGTGTTCGATTCACCCCGCGGTCATGCTCCTTTTTGTTTTGCTGCATCATGAACCACCAGAGTCACGTGGTTGATCCGCGGACATCGCGGCCGATGCCATTGCACACGGTTTGGTGGGAGTGCCATCCCCTTTTCCCCCTTTTTTATCTTAGCTTCAAGTTGCTGAATTCGAAAAAACACGGTCTCAAGAGTAGCTCTCCTCCTTAGGCATCGCCATAGCAGTCACAAACAAGGCAGAGTTGTGCGGTCTTGGGATGGCTCACCCGCGGAACGGAATAGACTGAAAAGCTCAAACGTTTGCCAAACCAGATGCGCAAAAAGAAAAGAAACGCAACTTAAACATTCAACATCAACATCTGAGAGCGAAGATTGATCGGAACTGCGCTCTATCTCAGACTATCTCTACGGCCGACTCCGTAGACCTGATACCCGCCATAACCCGATATGCTCACCCTCTCGCATTCTCTGCAGGCTTCTTATTGTAGTGTTAGTCATATTCAGATTCTTCCCCGGCACGACTCACATTCTCTTCCTTGGATTCCATAGTTGTCGATGAAACCGCTGGCTTCACGGGTTTGACTGGTGGCACCGGTCGTCCTCCTGGCATCGGTCGTCCCCGGATTTCAGCCGGAGCTTTGTCTCTGCAATGCTAGGTTAGAGCACACTTCAATTAGGATATAAAGTCTTGCGAGCTACTCACGATTTGTCTCCTTCGCTTTGCATCGTCAAGGTGCGCGAGAGTGCGAGATCTCAAGCTTGCGTTATGGAAGTAGAAGAAAAGGGAGTGGGGGAAAGTCGATCCTGCGGCTTGGATGGGAGGATCGCTTGTCGGGTGATGGAATCTTCCTTCTAAAATATGTTCAGCTATAAATACTAGTGAGTCTCGTCTAGGGCTTCGTCCTTGCTGACACCCTCTCACCTGTCCTCCCCACCTCAGGTCATTTTGGTTCCGTTGTGTAATGGCCCGGACCGGAAGTAATTGGCATGAGGCCAGATTTAGTAGCAGCATTTGGACTCCGGTCGTTGGCAGCAATTTACCGGACCAAGTCTCTGTCATAGACACGGGTCCGCACCTTATCCTGGCATTTCCCAACCTACACCGATGTACCGATGCTGTGGGCTTTCGTTCTCCTCAACTGTGGGATGGGATTGCCTGGAACTCTTTGGGACTAGTCTTTCTTGTTATTGTCGCGTTATACAGGTCGTGCATCTGCGATACCCGGGTTGCGGAGCCCTCGGGCTACCCACTTGGGCTTGTCTTGGTGTACTGACTGAACGTGCGCGCAACGTCTCTGCGGAGCGATTGAGATTGCTATGCTTCTTGATTGCATATGCTAAAGATGGCATCGATCGGTGTTCTGTCCGTCCACGTCGCGGCATGTATTGAGGACCGTCACTTGCGTTTGAATCTGAACCGGGTCCTCTGGTCTATCCTTCTGTCGGCAAACACCGTGCATAGCTCTATGTAGCCCATAACCTTCCGTGTATATCACTACAGAGATGTGGGTTGGCGCGAGAGGTGGATAAATCAGTACACAAGGTTAACCTGACCCCGATCAAGCCCCGTCCAAACCGTTCGCCCTCCTTTAAGCAGTTCCCTTCGCTCGCCACGTACTGCCTATGGCAGGGAACGCAGTTTGACGCATATGATACTGACTTCGCTCGTACGTTCTTCCCGATGCCTTCATAGATTCCCCGAGCTAGATTTACCAGTCCAAACGGTGATACGACACAGTCTTTGCGTGCGGAGACCGCACTGTGAGTTTGTTTTCACACTGAAAGGATGTGTGTCTACCCGGCTGAAGGGAAACGACGTCGGAGAACCTCGTTCTCCTTGCCTAATCACATTCCCCGGCTCACACCCGGATAGGAGTATCTCTTTCAACCAAAAAGCACAAGGCAATCATGTAGTAGCTATATATACGGCATCTAACTCGGGATGTATCGATGAAATGCCATCATCTTATCATCGCGCACTCACCGCGGTTAGTCCCGGCCTGGCCTCGTGAATGCATGGGGAACTCATCAACGGTGCTCACACCATAGCCAGTCATAAGATTGAGACACCCCTTGTATGTATGTACCTCATGTGCTCAAGCCCGTCCTGCCAGTTTGCTTCCTCTTCCCAAGAATCCGAGGAAAGAGATGAGGAAGAAATTGTGGACTGAAAAGGGTGACAGGGTCTTCAAATTAGTCTTTCCATGCGGCTACAGCCATGTGAAATCATTTAGTCTAAGCAATATATAGCATCTGGTAGAACCGCGGCGTCAATGCATCGCGACCGAGCACCTTAACGCCCTTTCATCCTCTTTAAGGGTGATCGAAGACGATATGAGAAGACGGCAACACACATCCGATCCCATTCAGCTTGAAAATTAGGTGCTGCAGCTACCTTTTAGGCTAGCAAGGTATTGGATCCGGGTGCTTAGACTATTTTCAGCCTTGTCGTAACCCAAGCCCATCCAGGAAGGATTAAGACTAATACGCTTCTAAACCGCCTTGGGCATCATTAAACAATGCGATCGTGCCGACGAAGAGATACAGCGTCTTGCGCAGCCTGCTGGGGGCGAACGAGGATGCTCCGAGCAGGTGCAAGTGTTCGATGCCCGGGGACTGCCGGTCGATACCGCTTGGCTCCCCTCTACGTCTCGGGCTAACCAGAGCGAGCTCCCCCATCCTCATGGCTAATGGATGCATGCATATTGCAGACATCTCTACCACTGCATCTTGGCTGGTGAAGCGGACTGTCCCGATGTGCAGACACTTTGACAATGATACCTGTAAATCACCCATGAGCTCAAGTCTGACTGCTACGGCGAAGACGCAGCCTCGAACTCTGTCGCTGGACTTATAATAGCGATTGCAAAACTACTTATCCACGTTAGACATAGTCGATGATTCCAGAAAGTTTTCTTTACAACGTTCGAGAGGTATAACCCTAGGAGGTACAATTTGCCGGAGACGAATAATCCGACCTCCAAGTTCGACACTCGCAGAAGTCTCGCAACTTTAGTGACAAGCCGGTCCACGTCCACGACGGTTTTGGTTGCGCGTAGTACTTGTGGGACCTTGTCCTCAAGCCGTTTCGCCGCAACAACAGGATCGCGGCTCATTTCCAGCAAATATCCGGTCCCAAGTATCTTGGGTAGCGAGGCTCGTCAGTGAATCGAGGGGACGACCTTGGTCCATAATGTTGCAGAGAAAATATAACCGCGAGACTCTCCAAGATTAGGTCATTTGACCCCTATCAACGCGACAAGAGTCAATGCACGACATCGCATCGCAGGGAAGATGGCTGCGACACGCTTCGCATACGTGAAAACATTCGAACTACCAGACCCAATATTACCGAATACGTTCTTCATAGTGCGAATTGACGGGCAGTCGTTTCATAGGTGAGACCTCGTTGCCAAGATCAGCTCTGTCCATAGTGCGGCGCAAGAGCCACTCGCAGCCTCACACCGCTCACTTTGCTCAAAACTGAGCATACCCAACGTATCCCTTCCACAGATTTTCGAATGCTCATGGCTTCGTCAAGCCGAACGATCTTTCAGCGCTTCAATTGATGGACCATGCAGCACAAGATGTTATGAGGGCGGTCCCTGACGCGATCCTTGCCTTTGGGGAGAGCGATGAATACAGGCGCGGCGTCTTAACAGATGTTGTGGGAGGGCGAGATTAACAATGATTGATCGCTTAGTTTCCTGTTTAGAAAGGCTTCCGTTATTTTCAATCGAAGGCAGAGGTATGGGTTCCGGTCCTGGACTGAAGTGGTCGTGGTTTAACGAGATAAGGAAGCAAGATCCTGAGCACCGTTGTCTCCCAATTCACATCGTCCTACGTGTTCAATTGGTCAAAATACCTTGGGGAGAGGCCGCTTCAATACCCTCCTACATTTGACGGAAGAATCGTCGTATATCCGAGCGAAAAGGAGGTCAAGGACTATTTTGCATGGCGACAAGCTGACAGTACGTGCGGTTCATTGGATTCTGTGTGTAAAGCTGACGTCTCCTCGCATGAGCGCATATTAATAACCTTTACAATACTGTGTTTTGGGCGCTGGTGCAGCAAGGAAGGTTAACGACTACGGAAGCCCACCAGAAACTGAAGGTGCGTCGCGAAGGCAAAGTTGCGGAGGGAGTTACACTCGGCTAAGCATGGACTTTTTGCTCCAGGGTACGGTGTCGGCAAATAAAAATGAGATCCTGTTCACCCAGTTTGGCATCAACTACAACACGGTGGATGCCAGGTACCGAAAGGGCAGCGTTATAGTGAGAAGTCTGGTGAGTGCGCCGGTCCTCCACAACCAATTGCCCTTTCGCTCAATAGTGTGTCCCGAAAGCAGGCTGATGATACAACAGAAGCCCCACCATCGGCTCAGGTGGAGGTGGAGGCCACTGAGTCCTTGTATTCAGAGGCGTCGGTAGAGGTTATTGGGGAGCAAGACGTCGAAGCACAACGAATCCAACGCCGACGAGAGAGGAAGGAGGCAAAGAAAGCGGAAAAGGTGGCGGCCCGTAAAAGAGAATGGGTTCTGAGTGTGATGCATTGCGACATGATCGGCGAAGACTTTTGGCAGACGAATCCTCAGATACTGGAATGACACGATTTCTCAGCAGGGCGGAGAATGCTAACTCGAATTCCTGGGCGAGGCAGACGGTTCGAGCAGGCGGACTATGGCACTGGCCAAACTGACCCCAATGGTTATGAAAAGAAATGGTGATATTAAGTGATACAAAGGCGTTCACGAAAGCGGGGCCGCTTGAGCTCCTGGTGATACAGGTAAGTCGGGTTGGATGATAAACCGCGGGAAGGAGACGGTGACGAGACATCCCAGAGCAGCCCTAACAAAACAGTAAGCTCATAAGAAACACCACGGGAGTGAGTGAAGGATGGGCGTACAGAATCGCAGTGAAGCCCATTCCACCATCTTTAAGTCTGAGGGGTTGCTGGTTGAGGTATGCCGAGACTGACATAAAGAGTGCGGGCCAGACGAAGAGTCTTGGGTGGAAGAACTAAGTGCC